CTGTCACTTCCTCATATGTCTATATCACGAGTGTTTCTTTCCTATTCTGTAGCAACTTACGACGAAATGAAAATGAAGGTATAATGCTTTTTACGTCGTACGCGATCCATCACTAGTCATGAAGCAGTATATAATAATCATAAATTTGATTTGTAGGCAAAAAGACTCATGGACATAAAAAATTGTCAATATTTATTCTTGACATTCACCTAATACAAATTTGTTGCGATCACTTGTCGATCCGATAAAATAATCAATGCTATTTTCAGCTGATATTCTAACATATCTTCAATCGTTGAATTCGAAACTATTGAAATGACTCATCTGAAATACTGTTCTAATCAATGAAAATTGCTTGAATTAGGTGTTTTGTCATGTGTTCTGGTTCAACAATACAGTTTTCAAGCAGATTAGTTTTGTCTCTTATTTCCAATTCAATTTGTTCATGCTAAACATCATCCAGGCGTTGGGAATTTTTAGCGAAAAATATTGATCAACTAACCAAAGTCATTTCCATATTGGAAGAGTTTGTTAGTCACTTTTAATTAAATGTTTACTTTGATATCAAATGAAATATATCGGATCATTTCGTTCAAAATCAGAATATTCCCACACAGTTGAGGGTGTGGGTGTTTGATATAATAAATATGTTGAAAGAATAATATATTCAGAATAGATCTGGTAGGATATAGTCATTTGGTATTATGTGACAGGATTTATAATAGAGATCCTTTTGTGACATACTAATCAAAAGTAAGTCTTGAATAACAAAACAAGAATGTACCAAATAATGATTCGAACCTTAGATATATTAACTGAGTAGCTATCGCTCTAACTACTGAGCCATCCGATGTTGTTAGTTGGTTGTAAAAGTTTTAAAACAGCAATGATCGATTTAGCGAGTTAAGTATAGAGGGATGTCAATAGAGATATATGTATCTCGAATAGATCCGCTGAGAAATTATTTAATGTTAAGAAGTTTGTATGACAAACTCTATGATGCAATAATGTTTTGAGAATAAATTCAACGATAAATTACTTTATATTGAAATCTATTTAGATAAGTCTTATAAAAGACATCGAAATTTCCATAATATACAATATAAAAAAAATTCCTGAAACTCTAAAAACATCCAATAAATCCCAAAAAAAAAAGTCTTGGTAGCATCTCACTCGCACTCAACTTAATACTAAAAAATGTAATAAGAAAGAAAAAATAAACGTTCTTGCTTTCTTCCTATCCTTTTTTCTCTGCGTGCAATGTAAATATTTGTTTTTTTTTCTGATTCTATTTCTTACAGATAGCAAGTGATATTCGTCAAAAGCTTAAGATAGAATAATAAATGATTTAAATAAAAAAAAAATCTAAAAATATATTTCATTGCACTTTCCTACTATTTATTTGTAACTATATGAACTTATTTGATGTTCCTTTTCTTTAATTTCGATAACTATTTCTCTACTTTTCCATCTTATTATTCATCACATATGACACAAATTATCGGCTTTCATATTATTTTTCAGATTGTAAAATCTCAAACTATCTAAATGATTGTACGAAAGATGTGCTATATTTAACAATATCTTTCTCTGATTTGATGCTCTTCTCATAAGAAATGGCATTCAAAAAAAAACAAAAGAATAGAAATAGTCTATTTTATAGAGAAAAATTATCACTATGATTTGAGATACTTCAAGTTTCAACGCATCAAACAACGAAGTGGAGAATTACAAAATACAATCGGAACTTAAAAAGTTAAGTTTTTGAGTATGTTCTAAAATTTTGAAGAATTATGATCCTTGCTATTTTTTTAACTAGACCAGAATGGGCTAATATTTTGATTTTCATAACAAATTCTTTTTACAACCCTGCTCACCTTAGTCGATGTTCTAGGGTACTTTCTCATAATCTTACTATTTGACTTTCTACATAATAAAAGCCTAGTATAAAAGTTATATTTTTCGAACATAATGAAGGCCTACTGTATTCGACCTGAGCACTAAGCAAACAATGTAAAAAATTAACTAGATTAACTCTATTTATGTACCTAATCTCTTTCGTGTTGAATGTTTTATAGCAATGAACAAATCATTTTCTTGCACGGCTTTAAAAATGCATATGCATACGTACTAGTTAAAAATAACTGTCGGAGAACTATGGAATAGGAAATAGGCATATAATCATATCATTGTGTTAGATTTTTTTCCATTATGAGCTTATATGCAATTCAAAAACAAAATGATATTAATTTGACAAAAATCAAACTCGATAATAAAAATTAGTATGAAATAGTACCATATCAATTATAAGATCTGAACTATCCATTTCTGAGAAATAATAATCAGAGACTTACTTTATATTTCTGTCCAGATAATTAAAATATATCTTGTGTCACTTCTGAATTGTGTACAATCTTTTGTAATGAACTCGTTCAACAAAATCATATCAGTACTTGTCTAATAAGAGTTTCTTTCTAATTTCTCCAAAAGAAACTGACAATAAATCTCTGATTCTGCAGAAAATATTATAGTTTATAATTTGAAAATTTCGATTTATCAATTGTTGAATACTTATATGCTAATGAAAACATAGCTACAACACAAAACAGTTACGAGAAGGATAAATCGACTTTAGATGAATAGCAACATCCAAATATAAAGATTTAGACGTTTAAAAAAATTAGAAAATTTGCAGCAAAATTTTTTTAAAATCTGGATATAATTGTCGACTTCTCAAATTCTACCAATAAAATGATCTAAATAACTGAATGAGAAATCATTGAATAATCTTCGAATCACAAATGAATGCCAAAATTATTTCAATTAATAATAAAAAAAAAAGTATTGTAAGACGAACCATCATCACCATCTGTTTTAAGATGAAAGTTACAATACTTCTATTTAAAGAATGTACATATTGTTTGATGTACATACGGCAAATATTCCTATGAGAAATAAATCAAACGCATATGTTTAATTAACTTCTTCTCATTATTTATGAATAATATAGCAATATTTGTATTCTCTAGTCATTAATCTAATGATGAAATTCTATTTGATTGATTATAATTATTCATTTACCATCAAACAACAAATTTCATTTAATATATTATTGCATGTGTATTGATAAGATCTATGAGATTATAAGTAGTTTGATCATAAATAAATAGTTGCATTATTGATAATATATCAATGAATATAGTTTTATTCAGGCAGTATTTTGCTTTCATTTACATTTTTCCGTCACGTCTTGAGACATGGTCGTGCAAACATATACACACACATCTATTGTTTAACATTTGAATAAAAACCAGAAAGAAAGTGTTAGTTATTTTTTCACCGTTGCATGATGCAACCGGTAATGTTCAATGTGATATGAATAATTCAAGTAAGTTATTTTGAAGTATTCCCTCTAAGTATAAAATAAGAGGAAAAAAAAATAGTATATCTTGATCATCTGGTGCCTCTAGACTAATTCTTTTTTTTTTGTCTGTCTGATTCTCTTTATAGTCGTATGAAGAAAAAAAAAACCTTGAACCAACATACCAATATCAATTGTGTGCAATTTTTTTTTGTCATAGACTATATTTAGTTGTACTGAGAAAAAATTTGAATATTTCTCGTCAATATTTTTTGAAGACTTAAGTCTTCTGTATTATTTATCATTGTTGAGGAAAATATCAAAGATTTTCCTCATTAATTATTATTATTATTTCAAATATGGAATTTATACCATCATTTCGATTACATTCACTTGGTTTTGTCTGTTGTAAGTATTTTTATTAAACAATTAATCTTTTTCCTTTTTTTTTTTTTTTTTTTATAGTATATAGAAAATAAAAAATTATTTAGTCGAATTGATGATACAATTCTTTATCTCTTGTGTGAACATAGTAGACTTGATTATACATTAAAAGAAACCACTTGAGTCAATCCTACTTTCTATCTTATACCTATATTTGCATACAAGATTAAATTAATTAGACTACTATGTAGTACTTATTATTACTAATATTGTCAATCAATATGCATACAATATTATTTGTATGCATATGAATCTAATGAACAAAATAGTTTCATCGTCTCCTGTACGATTGGTGACACAGTTCGACGCACTTTGACAGTCGATAAAAATGGACAATGGGTAAAAATAACATACTTTCATTCGTTCTTACTCTTGCTTTCTTAATATATCAATGAATCGATACACGCGACGATGATGTTGTAATTTGTTTTCATGCCTGAAGTCTTTTTAATCATGCGCGTGTATCTTCACTTATTGCGTTAGAGTTCAAATTATACAATATGTATAACGCCTTTTTTTTTTCTTCTTCATAGTCATTTTCTATATTTCTTCCTTTTCATTTTTTATGAATATTATAGGATCCACCTACACAGAAAGGCCACGAGTGAGCCTTTACTTTATAGATCAACACGTTCAATGTGTATGTGCGTGTAATCTTTTGTTGATAAATAGATCAATCAATGAAAGGACACCCATTCAGATTTCGTTTTTTTTTTCACACGAAAATACTCTACCAGCTTAAAAATCACTATTTAAACTGTTTTGGAGTAATATATACATGTTCCATTATGCGAAACAAAAATACTCTTGTACGATTCATCTTGATGAAATATATATACGAGAGTTCATTTAGAAGAAACAATGTATAGATCATATAGTCGATTGATTATACATTTATATGTATATCTTGTCTTGTCTCATCTTGTTTCGTTCAAAACGAACAAAAATTATGATTATCGAATGTTTCTCTTTGTATTTTTTTTATCTTGACGAGACAGATGCGCATAAACGTCATGATGAAAATTGAACATCTTTCTTTGTTAATGTATGTTAAAGATGATAGAAAAAAGAGAAAGAAAGATGTATATAATATAGTGAGTTCTTATTATCATTGATTTTATATTTTATACTTACTCCAGATACATCTGATCATTTTTTTTTGCTTTTTTTTACATATCCTATCTATAAAATATCCATGGTCGATTGTCTTTCATGGCATAGTTGCTATGGAGGTTTACGTTTATCTAAATATAATTCAAAGGAAAAACGACATATATCAAAAAAATATGTTGATCAACAATATTATATGCAAAAACAAATTCAGAACAATATCAATAATAAAAGTAAGTATATATATGATAGTTTTTTTATATAGATGAAACTAATTATAATTGATCGATATTGTTTCAATTTCTTTTTTTTTTTTTTATCGTATATACATTGATCGGAAGTATGTAGTATATTTGTGTACACTCGTCATCGATAACCGCAACAATAACAATAACACTAGCCTTCGTTTACAGACGAACGAAAGAAAGAATTGATCCGATTTAATCAATTCGGTTGATCATCTCGTTTCGTTCGCCTTGCCCGCCCGGTCTCTGTAATTATTTTTTTTCTTCTTCCTCTTCTCTTCATAAAGATTAATACTGTACATAAAGAGAGAAAAAGAAAAAGACGAGAAGCTTAGCATCATGTCATTGTTTTAAACTTTAACTTGTCTTTTTTTCGTCTTTGACTACGTTAATAAGTAGTGAATTCACTAGTTGTCAATACATATCAATGGAAAACATTGAACAAAAATCACATAGTTATTATCGTTTGCATGAAAAGATTGCACTTGTTTCTTTATTAAAAAAAGAAATGAAAAAACATTCGACATCGAATAGATTTTCTGGTAGTAATTTGTTAATCTTTTAGTTTGTTTTTTGATTATCTTTTTCTTTTTCTTTTTGATTCTAGGTAATTTCAGTTGTGTAAGTAGTGATACACATTCACCAAAGACACAACGTAATACTAACAATAATAATAATATATCACCACAACCAACCGATGAACAAAATACTTTACTTCAATTTTATATAGTTAATGTAAGTCGTGAACGAAATCTTCATTTAAGTACTTGTTCATATGATAAACGTTTACTAATTTTTTTCAATATTTCAAATGGATTACATAAACTGGGTGTTCGAAATGGTGAGTTATTACATTTTGTTTAAAAAAAAAATATCGAGCAGTATAATATAATTCGATTATATTGAATATCATTTGCTAAATAGTATTCAAGGATAACTTTTATTTATCAACAATGTTTAAAAAAGATTTTTTTTTTGCCACTGTGATTAAGTCATTGAATACAGTTGTAATGATAAAATATTTTTTCTCGATTGGTACATTTATGTGTCCGTATCTTCGTTAAATCATAGAAAAACAATTGAGCATAAATTTGCGCGTTCTAAATCGTATGGGATTAGATCGAAGAGAGCTAAATAAGTTTAATGTATAATACAGAAGAAAAAATGCAAACGAGAACAAAAAGTATTTATTTATTCTTCTTACAAAATTAAATTTATCAAAAAACCAATAAACAAATATTTATTCTTGATAATAAAACATATATATATTTATTCGTTTATTTAAAAACAAAATGATTCATTCATTTCGTATTTTAAATGTATCATTACATTATTATCATGTTTTATCTCAATTATGATCGGAATGAATTCAACAAATGAAAGCAACTAATTTAAATCCAATTGAAACATAGATTTCATGGAATATTTATAAATCCAAAATTATTCAATTAAATATTTTTTAAAATTAATTCAATCAAATCATTTATTAGGTAAGACAAAAAAAGAAGCGTATTTTACTATTTTGAAATTAACATAAATGAATTGATTTACATGCAGATAATAAAATAGAAGACAATAGTTTATCTTGACATTTGAAAGAAAATTCTTCTTATCGATATAAAAATTCTTTCTCACATTCCAAGACAAAAATAAATCTAATCTAGGACGGTAAACAAATGACATAGTTCCTGTAATCGTACGAAATTTTGTATTATTTGTTCATTGGCTTAAGAAAAATTGCTTGCATTCTATCGATAGAACACTAAAACGAAGTCTTTATTACGTTCTCTCGAGTGTAAACATATCATACTGAAAACAATATCAATTTGTATCGGATGCAATTCAAAAAATGTTTTTCAATATAGTGATACTACTGCGACTGAAAACAGAGACGAAATTAGTCTACCGACATTGATCTGCCAGTAACACGTACTGATTCGATTTCGACTGATCAAATTTTATTATATGATAAATCTAGGCAATAATTCAAAGGTTTTATTTCCAAAAATTGAATCAAACCTACACTATAAGAATAAGTGTAGAATAATAAACTCTCACTATCTGTTTATTACCATTATATTAACTCTTTTGGATTTATGAACACAGAGAAAAGGTAGAAGAGTATATGCATTTGCCGCGGATCATGAACTTTTGCCAAGGTTTATGTCGTGATAATAAATGGATAGTGGTGGTTGATTATCTTACATTTATTTTTTCGAATGTACACTTTTGCTATTGATATGTCGAGTAATTATATTTATTTGAGACAATAAGTCCCTCTTATTTTGTCTCTCAGAATTAAGCCAAACAAGAATTTGTAACAATTACTTGTTATAAAAAAAAAAAAACGAATTTTATTTTAGATTTATTCGTCTCGAAAGAGATTGAAGTGGTTTATAAAATTGATTATTACATAATGATGATATACGTGTTCATACAATTTATTCTGGTTTTATAGTCTTCTACGTAATTCTTATTCTGTTTTATTATCTGTTCTTTCATGTAATACACATAAATCCATGATTATGATGTTTTAATAATTAAAGCTGAAGATTTAATGAAAACAAAAAAAAAATTGTAATACAATAAGCAAAATCTGCAATTAATTATTTATAATCATGAACAAAATGAAGCTAAAATTTTAAAAAAGTTCTTTCAGAAAAATTAAAATAGGAAATATTTGAAATTTTCAATTAAATTCCTTCTGATGATCTATTAATCAATAAATATCAATTGAATAATTTTTCTTTAAATATAGAACAAATAAAACAAGATATATCACAAAATTTTATTATATACATAAAAATGAATATTCAAAATTTTACTCAAAAAAATGATAAATAATATTTTATTTCAACAACAGTACTTGTTGATAACACTCTACTTCTTGCTAATGACAATATATCGGTCAAATCATGTTCAAAATTCAATTCAATGTAGTATTCTATCGAGTACAAGTCTTTTGATAATTAACGCTAAAAATATGGGACAAATAAATTATAGCTCAATATTGGATTTTAGTTGAAAACATATTTAAAATCACATGTTATTTGATAATTCACCTGAATTTAAGCAATTAATCGATCATTAATTAGAATTTCAAAAGTTACATTGAGTATTACCACTTGAAAATTATATGTTATTAATAATGAAAATAATAATTATGTTAAGCATGATTCCAATTTATTTCATACATTATTTATAATTGAAAATGAACAATTAATAGAAGATATATTTCTTTTATTAGATTCAAGTTAAACTAAAGGTTTAACGTTTATGAATGGCTTTAATTTAAGAAGATATTGGATTATAGAAAAAAATTATATATATATATATATATATATTGCAAAATATTTACTTTTAAAAAAAACTAAATCATATATATTTATTGGAAGCGTGGAAGAGAACGAAAACCTATATCTTTCGGCAGATTCAATACCTCGATATGTTCCCTACAACAACGACTAGCTGTAGCTCTGGATAGAACACCGACCTGATATAGTGTTCTTATGCTTCCTATGCATACTAAGTAACCATGAGGGCAGGTATGTCACAATGCAATCGCGGCATACTAACGGATGAGTAATCCAAGACAAACAGCTATGAGTGACTTATCCAGAGTCATTCCATGGTTGGTGGTACCGAGGTGTGAGTATAGTACCTTGTCGAACAACGTAGTTACTCAATCATAGTAGACTTATTGAAAGTTTTGTTTACATGTGGACAGGGTATACAACTTGTTAATACGTAAAAAAATGATATTAAACAACTATTTGATATCAACTTGAATCAATTAAAAAAAAAAGACATCTTGAACGTTTATGAAAGTTCTAGAAATATGTATTATAAGATTTGCGTTGGAATATGAGAGAAATTCTTTGAAAAAAGAAAGAAATGTAAGTTTAATCGATGAGAACAACTCTTCATCTCGTACTCATCATTGAGACATCTTCTGACTATATTACACTGCTGTAAATGTCTATGAACAAGTTATAGTTCTGCAACCAAGACATTCAATTATATCCCTTATTGGTCATAGTAGTATTAATTATATTCTTTTATTAACAGTTTGATAACAGCAATAATTTATGAAAACGTTTCATTTTAGGAAGAAGAACAATTTCTCCTTTCACTAGAAATTACTTTTTTTTCCTGATCACTTGATAGAAACTATAACGATTTGAATTATTTTCTCGCAATAATTTACATAATTTCACTTCATAAAAAAAGATTATTTGAATTTTTTTCTTATTTTTAGGAGATATTTTAATATTTCTCAATCAATATAATATTCTTCAACCACCAATAGCATTAACAATTGATCGTGTTAAATCAGAATTTTCTGCATTACGTCGAAAAAATAAATTAATTCAAATAGGCATATGTCGTAGTTTAGATCAATCTTTATATAATAATACAACAATAAAACATTTAAGTACATTAACATTTAATGAATTTGAAAATCTATCACAAAATGAAGAATTTATTACTACTAATGAAAAATCATCAATAAATATTGAGTCAAAAAAACTTTTAAATTTATTTTCAACTAAAAGAAAATCAATAACAATTCAAAAACGAAATTCGAATTCTTATAGAGATAGTGGTTTTGTTGAAACAGATGGTAAATATATACAATATATATATTAGAGAAAATTTTTAAATATTAATCAATAGGATTTTATTATTTTTTTCTTGATTAGTTGATCATAGTCTTATTTCAAATTCAAATAAATATCGAAGTAAAACATCACCAGAACAAAGTGAAGAAGATGATTCAATGGTTACACAAAAATCATTTGATTTATCTGATGAACAATCAATTAAAAAGAAAACAAAGACATCAGTAGTAGATCAAGTTAAAATTCAATCAGGCAAACAATCAAGTAGAATGTAAGTAGAAGAATAATTGAGAATTGTGTGATATCACGTCTCGGTACTCATTACGAAGGAAATCCTTTAACTAATAAATCGCTTTTGAAGAGTTCGTGTCCTAAGATTATTGCTGCGGAGATACAGTAATTTTACGGTATTTTTTTAAAATGAATCCTGTGGTCTCTCTTAAAAGCATCAGAAAAAATGATTTTCCAATTTCGAGTTGAAATTATGCACAGACCGAGATCGTCGCGAGAATAGTTTTTCTGTGAATGTTTCAAATCTTGTCGCTGTTACTATACTCAAAACAATAGAAAAGATAATTAAGAAACAAATAAGTCAAGCCTATTTGAATCTTCTTTAATGTCTCGTTACCTCTCCATTAAAGAATCAAATAAACTACTCTCATTAAGATCTATCGATATGAAAAGTTCTAAGACAATATTTGAAAATCTGCGTTATTACTCAAATATATGCTTGACTGAACAATGATTTCTACCATACATTGTTTATCAAAAGACAACCGCATCTAAATATCCTTTTGCGTTTGTGGTTTATTCAAAAACTAAGAAACTTGAAAAACCATACTTTATAAAGTTCGTTGGTACTCAAAAGGTTAAGAAGTAGTGTCACATATGTGGAAAGACAATAACTTCGTCTCTTTTAGAAATCTATAATATTCTAAAAATATTCATACTTTCGAAGGTTTAATCTCATCTTCTCATATTCTACTGTTATAAAACATGATTATTGAGTTCTATAACAAATCCTTTGTACTTTCTCCGAAAGAACTATGAAATATGACAGTTAACTATTTTTGCATTACAAAACTTATAATACCAAAAAGAATATTCTTTACTCTTTAGTTCTTCACGTCAATTACTCAATAAATATCGTCAATCTCAAAATAATTTACCTACAGAAATTTTAACCGATGGATGTTTTATATATCGTCGTCAAATAATAAAAAAACCAACTTCAAATGCTGTAATCCTTCGTGGTCGTGAAATTGCATATCAAGCAGCTAATTCTCCAACAATACCATCATCAATGCCAAATTATACAGATGATCAAATTCGAGAATTATATGGTGAATTAGATAAAAATACACGTCGTTTACAAGAAAATGAATATATTTTTCATACACCAATGATAGATGCATGGAATGAAAAATCTTCATCTAATCAAAATCAATTATTAGATAAATGTCCTTTACCAAAATTTCATATTGATAAAAATAATCAAACAATTCTTATGACAACATATTTATCAACAGGTTTAAGTAATCCACGAATAATATCAAATGATAAAGAAACAATTCGAGGTAGTTTTCGTACATCAATTGCTGATCGTACAACAATTAGTCCATCACCAATTTTACTTAATGTTGATTTTGATTATAATAAACTTACAACAATATCAACAGATTTAAATGATCAATCAGCTTTCTTAGAAGATAGTCAACAAAAAACATCTATCAATTCAATTGACAAACAATCTGAAATAATTGATTCAGCTTTATCATCATTTGATTTACACACTACAGATCATCATTCTTCACCACAACATTTTAATGAAGAATCAATTGCATTGATAAATAATGTATGTCTAGTGTACTATCACTTTTTATTTGGATTCCTGTAAAAACCTACGGATAGCACCGAACGTTGCAAAGGAGAATTAATCAAAAAAAAATTAAATGTCATTTATTCTTGACTAACGCGACAACATTCCAGGTGTCTCGCTTCGATTTCGTGCGTTATATATTATTCGATAAGGGACCTCAAGTAGGTAAAAAGCCTAAAAGCATTACAGCCGACGGCTTTTTCTTCGAAAGTTACAACCAGTTTTCTGATTTTCCCAACGAAAACTAGTATAGAAAGAAAAATTCATAATTCCATTAAAAAAACTCATTAAGAGCCGAAATTTGTTTTTATGGTAGTCTTAAGGGTCCTCTATATACTCTGGAAGTTTCATAATTCTATCACTCTCTTTTTCCGAGTTATAGGAGATTTCTACAAGTAAGAATGTGGGTGTTGGTGTGAGTGTAGGCATCAGTGCTACCTTTGCCCATACCCACTCTTCCACTTACTTATAGAAGTGTCTTATAATTCGGAAAAAGAGAGTGATAGAATTGTGAAACTTTCAGAATATATAGAGAACCCTTAAGACTACCATTAAAATAAATTTCGGCTCTTTATGAGTTTCCTTGATGGAATTATGGATGTTTCTTTCTATACTAGTTTTCATTGGGAAAATCAGAAAACTGGTTGTAATTTGCGAAGGAAAAGCCGTCGGCTGGAACTCTTTTAGGCTCTTTACGTACTCAAGGTTCTCTATCGAATGATATATAAACGAATGAAATCGGAGCGAGACATCTGGGAATGTTTCCTCGTAAGAGAATAAACATGTTGTTTTTTCAAAACTTGTAAAAGATTACAATTCTTTAGTTAAGTTAGTTGTAAATACTTAAAATACGGTTTTCAACAAGCTTTTCTTGATAAACATGAGCTTCTGAATATTACTTCATCAGTGATAAAAATATTAACACATATGGCGAAGATATTCAAAGTGTTCTTTATTTAGTTACTTTCTCGACAACCTATAGGAGTAGAAATTTGAACTTCTCCCGAACATGATAGATACCTTAGTAACATGCTCTTTTCTTCATCATGAATCTTGACAGATACCTCTCCTCTGTCAAAGATATTGCCACTCTCTTCGCATGATCGATAGCAGATGTACTAGCGAGAGTGGAGCCTATTATCAACAGTAGGCAATAAATCACAAAATGAAATGTAGGTGGGTAAATGTTCTCTTTTATCATGTTAGTAGCTTCATCGTGTTTTGTGTTTTAAACCAGTAGGAATTATTCTAACAAGTTTTATAAATGAAATTCATCTTCTTGTTAGGTAAATTCAATAGCACCAAAAATCATATCATCACCAATAAAGACTTCTGAAACGATGGATATTGATAGTTTAATTGATCTTGATGATGAAACAACAATTTCTTATAATACAGCTGAAGAATTTCGTATGGAAACAGATCCTGATTCAATATTATCTAATAAAAATAATGAAAGAACAAATATTCATCATTGTCAATCAATCAATACAGATGCATTATTTACACATAATGATTATTTAAATATTATAAAATCATCAGAAAATAATTCTTCTTATGATCCATTTATGCCATCTATTGAAAAAAATCAACAAAATATTTTTACAGATAATTATCAATCATCATCAACAATTAATATCGATCATTTAATAATAAAAGATAAAGATATAGATAAAAATTCATCTATTTATAATCTTATTAAAATAATTTATGATATCAATCAAAAACAATCTGATCATTCACCTATTATCTTCCATCATACGAAAACACAAACTGAAAAAGAATCAAAAATTAATGAAAAATATTCGAATATCAAAATGTTAACAGATAATCAAAATAAATTGATAAAAGTTAATAATTCAAATGTTGTAATCGATCAATCTTTGTCAGTTACATCTCAAGAATTAACTGATAAATCAGTTAATGAATTTAATAATTTAGAAGCTATTATTCATAAAGTTGAATCATTAATTAAACAATCTATTGAACCTGAACAAAATTTAAATATACTACAAACAAATCTTTCATCTATTAATAATCTATCTCAAATATTTAATGATTCTTTTTTAAAAAATCAAAATGATGATGATGATGATGATCATGATCATCATCAATTATTAATTAATGACGAAAATAATTATCATCAAAAAATAAATGATATTGATGAAGATTTTGAAGAATTATATCAACACTATGTAACTGATCTTAATCAATATCAAACTAAGATACAACATATTGATAAATTTGAACAAAATCAACATATATTAACACCTATTACTGAAGAATCAATAACATTAGTTGAACGTAGTAATGATGATAAAATTATAAAAATCAATGATAATGAACAATATTGTTTATTATTAACTGTACAACGTCAATCAAATCATATTGGACATTATGGATTTGAATTAGAACAAACAATAAATGAAAAAATAATAATTTCTTCAATTATTGATTCAAATTATTGTCCACATTTAAATATAGGTGATGAAATTATTTCTATAAATCATAATTCAACATTAATAACACTTGAACAATGTCATTTATTATTTCATTCATTATGGTATAATCAATGTGAATATGTACAAATCGTTGTTAATAAACCAATCTATACTTCAATAATACCAAGTAAATAAATATGAAAATTCACTAAATCAAAACTAAGGATATAACAATGACAATGTATTGTTGAATAACGTAGAAAACAGTAACTTTTTCTGTTGCAAATCGGTTTTCTTTGCAGAAAAATACAACAGATATATATATATATATATATCAACATTTCAACGTGAAAACCTTCAATATAATATTTGGAAAACAGACAAGATTATTCCCTTATAGACAATTCGATATCGTTCCAGAAATGAGCAGCCCCGACCCCGGAGCGGCCGCTCTACGGATCTGGAGCGAGAAAATATCAGCCGGATACCGTGAACTGTAGTTTTATCTCGTCCCTTATTATCATTTAAAAAAGAATCTGAGCATCATTAATTAGTATAAAAGTTAGTGGTTGAAGGAGCCAAAAAAATAGCAGAGTTTTCCACTAAAACAACGATCTTTTATTTTCGTTGAAGCGGAGCTGGAGCTGCCCATTTCTAACATGCTCTATAATCTGAATAGATCAAAAATGATTTTGACAAAATTTTTATTAATTTGCAAAACCGATTTTCTAGAAAATCAGTATATAAACACTTAAAGGAATTTTTCATGGTCATATTCGGAATCAGCAATGATTCTTAAACCATAATTCAGTAGCTTTTGATGAGAAAAATATTGATCAATTGAAAGTATTACCTCGTAAGATTATCATAGTTTTATCATGTGGTCACTACCTTCACTGTTATTTTGTACAGATGTCTGCAAAAAAACTTGGAAATCTTGTTGTGCCAGTATTTCCCTCTATATATGTCATCCTCAAATTGTTTCATATATTGCTTGATAGCCTATGACGAGTATCATTGAACACCATATTTCAATATTTTATTCGTTCACACCTCTAGAAGAAATAAGAGATAAACATCTTTCTTTCATAGACATCTCACAATTTTTTACAATATTAATTTCAGTATTTTTGAATTCTTCAGCTAAGAAATATTCAAATTCATGAATATTTTTGCGGTTTTCTTTTTTCAACTTTTCATTTTATGATCGATCATATATTCTCAATAAAATTAACATCTGGAATGTTCGATGATCAATCTAACAATTCCAGTACATTATTGCTGATAAATTGTTTATAAATATTACTCTAATGTTTTGGATTGTTGTCCTAATGTAGACGCCAATTTCGACGACATTGTTTTAAAGTGAAAAAATAAATAGTAATGTTACATTGTTTCTATTTATTACTTAGGTCTAGCAGTAGGTAGAAAGTAATTTTCAAGTATACGAGCGTAATAGGTACTATCGAGATTACATCTGAATGTATGACAAGTCAATACACCTTTGACACTTACAGCATTCAAGATATGAACTTTTTGATGATTTTTGGATGCACATTTTAATTCATCATTTGAATGTTTTGACCAACAACGAATAGTATTACGAAAAAGTTGAAACGAAGATTCATCTGTAATAAAAATTGTATGTGTAAAATCATCATTTTTATATTGTTTAGCCCATTATATATATCGCTTTTTTTTCACTAGATTTCAACGTATAAGTATTTTTTGGTAACACATTCTTATAGCCATATTCATGAAGATGACGACTAATTGTTGATGTAGATACTAATTTATGATATGTTTTGGATAAATTTTCCTTTATTTCATTAAGAGTTATTTCATCGTTTTTTTGTCGAATTTATTGACCAATAGCTTTTTTCTCTTTTCCACTCAGTATACATGATCGACCATTTTCACCTCGATGTTTAAGTAAATTCGATTGTTTTAATTTGTCGATATTGTAATAGATAGTACTCACTGGGATATTTGTTTCACGATGAATAATACTGGTAGATCGTATATCTTTTTTTCCAAAAATACAAAATTGAGATATGATGATTTTTCAAATGACTAGATGGTGTCATGATTTGATATATATGTATCTAATAACAATGAAATCACACTTCTTTATGATAAGCATGTAGTATAACTACCGATGATCTATTCTTAGAAATATTAGTTTTGTAATTGCTTCCAATAGCAAAAAAAAAGAACTTTTTTCAAGTTTTCTTGCAAACACCTGTATATATATGACTAGACTAATACAGCGGTGGTCACCGTCAAATCCCTAATCAAAACCTAGTCTTCTGAAAGCTTCCACAGCACCTACTTCATATATTTAGCTTTCAAATCATCTCATCAATACATAAAATATCTATGTAGAAAATACTGTTTAGAATGACACTTCCTTTTTCACAAATTCTAAAATGATTTAGTTTGTACAATAATTCTTCATTTCTATAAGGTCATCCTTTCCTTTTAAATACCTTCTAAATAGAGAAAAAAAAATCATTTTTCTGCATTTACTCAATTATACTCTAATACTCAAAGTATTCTTTTTTTTGTTTCGATTTCAATCATATTCTATTCATACAAATAATGTATATTTTTAGTGTCGGAATCGATGTCATTGCAATCAAGTTCTCTATCATGGCCATTATCCATAGCTGAATCAGGTAAAATAATTGCGGTTTTTTTCTAATAGAAATTTTATTGACTCGAGAATCTTAAATATTGCATATTACTTTTAATTCAACCGCAGGATAATATATTATTATATTTACATTTATAAGTTTCTAATGATATATTAAATATATTATTTTGTATACCTATATTTCTGTTTTATATATATATATAAGAGAGAGTACATAAGTACTGACTTTTTTTTTCGTCTCTGTTCACATTCGTAATTTTGTTTCGAGAAAGTTAAACGTATAAAATGCCGACTATCTATGATATGCAACGTGAAGAAACATATACAAGTGGTGATCCACGTACAAGTTCAATTCATGATACATATGGTAGTTCAATAGATACAACTGTTGGTTATATGTCAGCTATAGCACCACGTCAAGTAACTGTAACTCGACCAGTTAAAAATTTAGGTAGTACAAATCGAAGTGTTACATCAAAAATGAGTGTATCACAATCTGTATCAAGTAGTGCTGTACCATTACGTGGTAGTATGGGTGGTGGTGGTGGACAATGGGCATTAGTACCATTTACAAGTCAACGTGTTGAAGAAAAACGACAATTAGCTGAATTAAATGATCGTTTTGCTGAATATATTGGAAAAATTCGTTATTTAGAAGCTGTTAATCGTAAATTAAGTCGAGATTTAGATAATATAAGAAATAAAAAAGGTATTGGTTTACAACGTATAAATGAAATAATAATACGTGAAAAAAGAGAAGCTGAAGATACATTAAAACGTATGGATGATGATATACGTTCAGGACAAATCAAACGACAAGAAGCTGAAACACGTCTTAAACAAGCTGAACAACGTTTAAATAATATACAACGACCAGATCAAATAAATAATGTTAAAAATCAATTAAAACAATTACGAGAAAAAATTCTTGATTTTGAAAAAAAAATTGAATTAATACGAAAAACAATTGCTGATAATGATGATGAAATAGCATTATATAATAGTGAATTACAACGAATTCGTAATGATATAGCTAATCTTATATCTGAAATAGCTAATGAAGCAACACAAAAACAATTATTATTAGCTGAAAAAACAGTACTTGAACAAGAATTAAAAGCACTTGATACAGCACATAAATTTGATGTTGAACAATTACGTTCAAAAGTTGCTATAGCTAATGTTGATCCGGCACCATTTTTTGAAAGTGAATTAACATCATCAATACGTGAAATACGTAAACAATTTGAAACCATAACTGAGCAACAACAACAACAATTACAAAATTATTATCAAGCTAAAGTTAGTGCATTAATTGAATATCATCAACCAAAACAACCAATTGAATCACAATGGCAAACAGAAAAAATTCGTGAAATAACACGTACAATATCTGATGTACGTAGTCGTGTTAATAATTTACAAATGGAAAATCAAGATCTTGATAGACAAATAGCTGATATACGACAACAAATACAATCAACAACATATCAAGATGATCAACGTTTAATTAATGAACAAAAATATTATCGTGATGAAATTGAACGTCTTAAAGGTTATATAAATGATTTAGAAAAATATCGTACAACATTAGAAGAAGAAATACGTCGTTATCGTTTATTACTTGAAGGTGGTACAAATCAAGTTGGTCTACGACATTTTGCTGAGGAAGCTGAAAAAATTATGAATCGTGGTAGATCATTACTTGATTCACTTAATTTACGTTTAATTAAAAATACATCAGGACCAAGTAGTTCTCATAATGTACGTGAAGTTACATATTCAACATCGTATTCATCTGGTAGTGGTCTCCATGGATAATTATCTCAATTATTTTACATACTGAAAAATATTTTATTTTTTAATTGACTGAACGTTGTTTCTTCTTTTTTTTTTTTAGTTTGAGCTATATTTCCCCGTTACCTTTACCCTGTAGTAGTGCCATTAATAAATATATATTATATCTCTATGACAAATATTTACTTTAGTTGGCATTCCACGAGAAATGTTTTAATAGCATGGTTATGCCTTACCGCATTTTAAATTATTTATGTGTATGTCGGTGTCTTTAGGCAGATCTCCACATGAATCGGTTTATTTGCATAAAATCGATCAACTTCATATAGAAAGAATAATATTAATTTTCTTCTTCTTTCTCTCTCTCTCTGTTGCCCGATGTATTTTTCTTTTGTGAATGTCTTTGGCATGCACTTTATTGTTTGTCGCTTACGTGCGGTGGGTAACTAACCGCAGAGCTGAAGTAATAAAGAGTAGTGAGGAACAGAGAGAGAGAGAAAAAAAAAGTATTATTCTCTCTTTGCAAAAAAAAAACTATTCTAACGGGTATGCACGACAACGGCCACGTCCGATTGAGGGAAAGAGCATTAGCAAATACGTAAGATTTCTTTGTTTGCTCTTTCTCATCGAATCACAAAGTGTAGAGGACGAAAGAAAAAGGAATTGATCAATAAAAAGGAACATGTCGACTCGTTACTACATTCATTTTAATTTTCTTTTCTTTTTTTTTAAACTCTTTATATGTATATATTTACTATTTGTTAAATATAATTTTTTGCTTTTTATTCTCTTCAGACCTCCTTGTCGAAACAAATACTAACATCAAAATGCCAACCTTCGAGGATGAGTTTGCAAGAACTAGTTCAACATATAGTACATACAAATCTCAAATAACACCTCGTACAACAAATGTTCAACGTCGTATAGGTGGTCCAGCAGGAATAATGACACGAATGTATCAAAGTTATTCAACAACAGGTGGTAGTGGTGGTTTTGCTGCTGGTGGTGGTATATCAGGTTTAGCATCAATAGCTGGTCTTGGAAATTTTTCTGGTATACCATTAAGACCAAATCGTGGTGTAACAGCATTAGTTGCTGTTAATGAAACACGTGAAAGAGAAAAACGTGAATTAAGTCAATTAAATGATAAATTTGCTCAATATGTTGAAAAAGTACGATTTCTTGAAGCACAAAATCGTAAATTACAATTAGAATTAGAAGCATTACAAAATAAATCAGGACAAGGTTCATCAAGAATAAAAGAAATGTATGAAGTTGAAATGAATGAAGCAAGAAAACTTATTGATGATACAACACGTGATCGTGCAGCAGCTGAAGTAAAAGCACGTGATGCTGAAAAAGAAGCTGGTCGTTATCGTAAACGTTATGATGAAATTTTAAATAGTCGTGAAACAGATCGTTCAGCAATTGATCGTCTTCAACAACAAATAGCTGAAAATGAAGCACAAATTAATTTATTTCGTCGTCGTTTAGCTGATCTTGAAGATGAAGCACGACGTTATAAAGCTGAAACACAACGTTTAGCATCTGAAATAGCACGTTTACAAAATGAAATACAAAATGAAACATTTGTTAAAAGTTCACTTGATACAGAAAAAATGGCATTAGAAGATGAACTAGCTATGATTAAACAAATGCATGAAGCTGATTTAAATGAATTACGTTCAAAAACTGTTGTTGATGTTAATTTAGATCCTTCACATTTTTTTCGTAATGAATTGGCACAAGCTATTCGTGATATTCGTAATGAATTTGAAACACTTAATGAACAACAACGTACAGATTTACATAATCGTTATATGGTATCATACAATGAACTTATATTAAGATATCAAAAACCTGATCTTGATCCAATACAAAGTGAACAACAAAGACTTCAAGAAGAAAGATTACGTACAACATTATTATCAACACGTAATGAAGTTGCACATATGAGAGCAAGAAATGAAGAATTAAGTAATAGAATAAAAGAACTTCAATTACATATTAATCAAGAACGTGATGATGGTAAAAATCGATATTTTCTTATTCTTTTTTTTTTTAATTCAATAATTTAAAATTTTTTTTTTTTTTTTTCTAGGTGGTCGTTTAATACAAAGACGTACGGCTGAAATTGAAGATTTACGTCGTAAATTAGAAAAATTACAACGAGAATATGAAGAAGTTACAACTATGAAAACATCATTAGAAAAAGAAATCAATACATATAGAGAATTACTTGAAGGAACAAGTAATCGTGAAGGTCTTAAACAAATTGTTGATCATGTTCTTGAAGAAGCACGACGATTAGAAGCTGAACGAGCAACAGGTGGTATGAATGTTGCTGGTTCAATTTCATATTCAGGTGGCGGCGGTAGTGGTGGTGGTGGTGGTCGTTCAACAACAATTCAACGTACATATATTTCAAGTACGGGAGGTGGTGTAAGTAGTTCTGGAGTTACTGGTTCAATTGGTAGTCCTGGTCGAATAACTTCTAGTTATAGTGGAACACAAGGTGGTGGTGGTGGTGGTATGTCATATTCACATGCATCATCTCATCGAGAATTTTCATCATCAAGTTAAATAATGACACCTATGCGTGTTTTTCGTTTTTGAGTATCGTTTTCAGAATGGATGCGTTCAAGTTAAATGTTTTAGTAATTAATGTATATGTTCGATTATCTATTTGAAATTGATGAAAAATAAATAAAAGCACTTACACATAGTAGAAAATTTTCTATTATATTAACTAATATTTTAATAATAGCTATTTCTTTAGATATATCGAAACTAGACAATATTTGGTTAAGATTCAAATAAATTCTTAATGAATAATATTACAATAATTATTCAAGGTTTTCAAATTTAAACGTGACCTATTTGCTTTTTGTTTCAGGGTACTATTAAATTACAAATGAATAAATACCAACTGATATGAGATAGAAAAGTCATGTTTATCTTGAAATTAACACTTAATCAAATGAATAGATTTCGGATTGAATTTAAAACAATTTAATTGATATTTTTGTATGATATGTATATATAAACGATTTAAACTTTTAAAGATGAAAAATCAAAACGACATTGTTTGAAATTTTATGTTTTTATTATTTTATTTTATTTGTTCATGGGAAATAAATTTTATTGACAAAAAGTAAATATTTAATATATATAGTATTATGAATTTATTACATGTATAAATCAAATCAAAAAAAAATTCTTATCAGCATCGATTGTGTAATCATAGGTTTATTGCAATTTCAAAATCGATATATATATATATATATATATATATATTTGTCTATCCATTCAACATGTAGTTTTAATATCTGAATAAAATATTTCTATAATAATCATATAATAAAATATCTTTTCTTAATCAAAAAACAAAAATATTCTTTCGATATTGCAAAAAAAAACAAAAAGGTTTTTTTTGTATGACAAGCAATAGATGTCCTCTACTGATGCATCATTGCCAAAAGTCATAGAAGAACGTCAAAGAAAGATGCTTTATTTGATATGAATATATTCATCTATGCACAGAGTTTTCTGATTGATGGATCTACCATTTTTCTTTCATTATAAAGTGTTGACAATATAGTAGGTACAAGCTATCTCACTGAAATAATATATGCCTCTATTGTATAAATAGAAAAAAAAAGAGCCGATTTATCTTTGCAACTCAAACATAATGCTACTATAAGTAACTGTAGAACAGCGCAACCTTGGAATATCTCAGTTTCAGTTCTATCAAGCTGGTTGGCTTTTTTTTTCTTGAAGCTTTAAGAAAAATACCTATGGATCGATCTCCACAGATAATTTTCTTGCCATGACAATAGATTATATCTCTTTAGTAATGATACTTTAACGCTATGGATATTTATGGTATGCATATATTATTAAATACGTAAGTCTCTATTTGCAATAACAAAAAAATAAAAAGAATTAGAACCAAAATTAAGATATTTTAACTTTTTTTTTTTGATATTTAGTTACTTATAACTCACCTTATATATTCAATGAAAACGAGAAGAATGAACTTTCTTAACATATATACAAGATCCTATAAAATAATTTTCATGTGAAAAGGTAACGTACTAAGAAGAAACTACTTTATTACGTTATATGGAAAAATAAATTATAAAACTTGTATATTCATCTCTAGAAAAAAAAAACTGCTCACAAACACATGTGCCTGTGTGTTAATAGATTCTGTACTTCTAATACATTATATATATATACATTTTGTTTTTTGATTAATACAAATAAACACGATTAGTTTTTTAACAAATTGAAACTAATAAAATAATTGTTGTCGAATTATACAACATAAATGATCAAAGAGAAAAAAAAGGAACTATATTTATAGATTCTGTCGTTTTCCATATGCATGAATAGACAATGTCTAGAGTGTTAAAGACATACAATTACGTTTATTCGCCTTCACATATAGAACAAACATTAGAGGAAGGACAGTTGCAGGCATGAAAGATGATAATAGAAGCTAGACTAAAGAGAAATTTTTTCTTCTATAGGACAGAGAGAGAGAGGGAGACAACAAGAAACAATTTATTTCCTTTTTTTTATCTTGATAACGTTGTGTATACACCCACTAATACTATGATTAGTATATAAAAAAAAATTTTTTTTTTGTGCCTAACGACACTAAACAAGCATTTATTAGACATAATTTTACTATTGTTGACAAAAAACGATTGGTATATGAATACGCTGATCGACCATATATCCTAACGGTATGTCATTTTTATTCTACATAGTACATTTGTTATAACTAATATTTGTCTATTTCGACATGAAACATTTGTACATAATATTACTTCCACAATATTCATTTTGATGATCTATGGTATACATCTATACAAATCAATAATTGAATAAATTGTCTATGAGAAATAATATAATAAAAACAAAAAAAAGTCAAAATAATATGCTATAGAGTATTGTAGACTTTATTTAGGTATCTTCACTTGAACTACAGTTTTCTATATACATATATATAAGAAAATTATGAATTGTTTTAAAATGATCTATTTACATGTTAAAAGACGTATGTTTAGACATATTTCATAGCAGGTGTTCTTCTTATATTCCGTATGAACTTGATTTTACAGACAAAAAAAAAAATCTTACTATATACAATATTTTCTGCACTATATATATACTTATCTTATCTCTCATCCTCATCTTCTGTCATCAAATAAAGTTATGACGTAGTAATTAGAACTTCTTGACATATAAGTTTTTTTGTTTCTTTCTTTAAGTAAAGATAAGCTTTCAATCACTAATCTTAATATAGACGTAAATCATTCAAGATTCTTTTTCTTTTCTATGATAATGAATTATATATTCTATTATTATTTCTGCATATGTGCACTACTGGATAATCTTACAATACATTGATTACATTCTTGTTTGATTATGTATATATCTCTATGGGAATATGGAAAAGATATTGATTAATATATGCATATAAAATAATCTTGATAGACTAGTTTTCAAGAAATAGTGCATGTGTTGGAATAACATAAATATAAATATGTAGAGAAATCATGCAAAGTATTTTATTCTTCTTATTTTGTCAAAGTCTAAACGATTAGTTTTTTATTATTACAACATGAAAATGTTAGTTTTACCGCAAATAATATATTTTGCTTATTTTGTTCATAATAATGAGTAACACAAGCGAAGAAAAAGAAGGGAAGAATTATTATTGTTCATTTCTATAGCTCGATTAATAAGAAAGAAAAAGAAAATCGTCTCCTGGTATTCTCTATTCGTGCATATGATCTCATTATTATAAAAAAAAAAAAAAAGAAAAGAAAAATAAAACTTAGAGGGCTTTTCCAAAAGAAAATCATTATATATTAATTCTTACAAAGATCGGAATATGGCGATTTTTCTATCTAAAAATGTTATTGTTGATCTATTGTATTTTTCTTTTAGTTTAATTGCTTGTTATTAGTTCAATGGATAATCATAATACTTCTTCAATATTATCTCAAAAAGAAAATCAACTAGAAGAAGAATCATTAAATTCTAATCGATTACCAAGAACTTCACGAAGATCATCAAGAAAAAATATTGCTACAGAACATTTTAATTCTTCTGATATTCCAATTAAATCAAGTGGTAAATCAATTATTGTTATTACAATTGAGTAAGATATTTTTTTTTTCTTAAAAGCATTTCTTTACTACACTTGTTAATACGAAAAAAAATAAATTTGATTGAATAATCATGTAGTATAATATTCGTTTTACACTCTTTCATAAGAATACTACTATATGATCATTGATAGATTCAAGTATAAGTCCTACTGTGCATGACTGTACGTGTCATTTGATGATGTATCATGTGTCTGTCTTGAATGATGTTTCATTATGAGAATAATTGTTGACAAGGATTAATAAATATACGATTATAAAAGAAGAATACCAAACATTCTTTTTGTTTTATATAGAAATCAAGATCAATATTAACCAATAGATGATGACAGACAGAAATATCTGCTATGATCTGTCATTGAAGAAAAAAAAAGTAATCTGTGGAATAATATAAACCATAACAAATACTCCTGTCTATTATAAATAGTGACGAGAAGCAATAACGAAAGAATCAGTAGAATAAAAGAGACTTTTGTTTATTATTGAAATAATTCCATTGTGAATTTTATTTTTATTTTTTTCATTCCGAAGAGATTAAAGTTAAATTTTGCTCTTAGAAAACTAATTCTTACAAAATCTTTACGGACTTAATAACTACCGTGTGTGGTTTTTCAGAATTCGCGTATGACATTCCCCAGCGGCAGATTCAATAGTCCAATATCTTTCATACAACCAATACTAGCTGTGAACAGAAGGTTAGCCTGGTTCAGAATTCTTAATCTCCCTATACACACAAATTAACCATAAGAGCAGTTACATGCCAGAATGTAGTCAGCATGCTATCGGACGAGTGATCTGAGACAAAAGGCCGTCACTGGCTTGTCTAGGGTCATCATTCCATACCTGATTTACAAGGATTGTTGAAATATAGGGATAGAAATTTGGATTCCCTGCCGACTGTGTCAGATGTTATTGATATACAATCATAGGTCGTATATTCATTATATTATATGAATTACTTCCTCATTATGTTTCTAGAAGATTAATCGTGTTTCACATGTTAATCCCACCGGAATTGCGCTAACAGCTTTTTTACGTAATTTATTCAATACAGTAGATTCGTTTGATGAAATTTCAAATAGAGTTGAAGTGTATTATTCTAAACGAATGAAAAAAATTAGATCTGATATCAACATCATGTAATTGGCATTGTTTTTTAAGAGAAAATCCCAAACGTGAAAAACGTGAATTAAATCATCTTAATGATCGTTTTGCTTCGTATATTGAACGTGTACGTTTTTTGGAAGGTCAAAATAAAACAATTCAACTTGAAATAAATCAACTACGGTAAATTTCTGTCTTGTTTTTTTTTTTTTTTAAATTTGAATAAAAATAAATTGTAGTGAAAAATTAAATTCACGAATAACCAAAGTAAAAGAAAAATATGAAAATAAAATATCTGAAGTTCGTCAAACTATTGATAATACAGTGAAAGATCATGCTACAGTTTATCTTCGTGCTAAACATGCTGAAGAAAATACATTAAAATTTAAAGACAAGTAAATTTAACAAACAAACAAAAAAATCTATTCTATTAAATATTGTTTTTTTTTTTAAATAGATGTGATTCATTATTAGCTGTAAGAGATTCTGATCGTAAACAAATTGAATTTTTACAAAAACAATTGTTTGATAATGAAGCAGATCTTAATTTAATTCATCGTCGTTTAAGTAAATTCGATTTCTAAAATATTTTTCTTTAATTTCAAAAACAAAAAATTTCTATTTAGCCGATTTAGAAGATGAACAAAAACGTTGTCATATTGAATCAAAACAACTTCTATTAGATATTCAACGTATAAAAAATGATTTAAATGATGAAATAATATCTCGAATACAATTAGAAAATCAAAAAGAAAATCTTGAAAAAGAAATTGAATTTTTAAAAGATATACATTTACATGAAATAGAAGAATTAAAACAAATTAATTTAAATAATACTTCAACATTAAATCCAACGAAATTTTTTCAATATGAATTATCAAATGCTATAAAAAATATTCGACAAGAATATGAACAACTTAATTTTCATCAACGACATGAACTTGAATCATGGTATCAATCAAAAGTTACACAAGCTGTAAGATTAGATTTAATGGTAAATATTTCAATTTCTTTTTTTCATATTAGATAAAAGAAGTTCAAGCTAGTGAAAAACCAAAAAAAAATATTCTTGAACAAGAAGAAATTCAAAGATTACGAACATTAGTTTCAAATTCACAACAAGATATTACTACAATCCATCAACGAGTAAATTGGTTTTTTTTTCTTTTTGTATAATCAAATAAAAAGAAGAATATGTGAGTTTTCTGGGTTTTTTTTAATTTTAGAATGAAGAATTAGAAAATCGTATTCGAGAATTAGAAGATCTTATTAAAATTGAACGAAATGAAAATATTCGAGCATCAAATGAACGAAATCAAAAATTAAAAGAATTAAAAGATCGTCTTGTAGATTTAGCACGAAATTATGATGAACTTATTTCAATGAAAATATCACTTGATTCAGAAATTTCTATTTATAGAAAATTACTTGAAGGTGAAGAGAAAAGGTATGATAAATTTATCTATCTTTTTTTTGTTCTTTTCATAATTCTAAACTTTCAAGTATTTCTTGATAATTATATAGAGATCAACTTTTTTTTTGTTTTTTTTATTGATTATTTATTCTTTAGAGAAGGCTTAAAACGAATAGCTGAAAATGTTGAACACCAAATACAAGCTAATTTTCCTGCTACTAGTGGTGAATCAATCACTTATTCACAATCTTATCAAAGAAAAAATGATAGTCAAGGTAAGAAATCATGCATGTATGTATTATATTCTTCGTTGCATGCTGTTTGATATTATTCATCGTCAAACAAAAATGAAATATTCTTATCGTTCAATGTTGTATCGTCATCGTTGTAATATTGTTGTTGTTTTTTTTTAACTTAATAAAAATCAAAAGAATATACTTATAGAAAACCAAGATCGGTCATATGCTGATGATCGTGAAAATACATTGAACAAAGAAACACCTTATTTATCGCCAATATCTTCATCATCTAATAATAATAATATTCAAAACAATGATGAACCGATACAAACGCCTATGCATGAAGAATTTGTTCAACTTCAAAATCTGAATGCATCATCTGAACGTAATTCTGATTATGATTCATCAAAAGAAGATTCTCATGAACAACATGATCATTTATAATTTTCTTTAAACGAAAACTAATTCTATTTATCTATTAATTTTCTCACATTCCTTTATTGTATTCTTCCTATTAGCTTTATTTTTTGTCTTTCTTTAAATACACGTAGTTTTAGCATTATACAAAGCACGATTGAAATGCATGAAAAAAAAAACAAAAAAACAAACAAATAAAGCTCTTATTTCAATATAATATTTTCGTTTAGGTTTTAGTCGTAATAAATTAATGTTGACATCTCGTGTACCATTTCAAAATTTATCTTCAACTAAAAAAGAATCAACAATTTTTGAACAAGTATATGGTAATCGTCGACAACGATGTAATACAATTTCTTTGAATGTTCAATGGGTACCTGTTATTTGTCATGCGAATATATATGAACAGAGTGGAAATGACTTTAATAATCGAAACTTAAAGAGAAAGACTTTTTTCGATACTCGTGCAATACGGGAACAACAACAACAACAACCTAAATCTGTTACACCGCCTGGTTCTGACTATACCGATGCATATTTATCTGCTTTTGCTCCTAAATTAATTTCTACTAGACCTATTCGTCGATTAACTACTCCTATATTTGCACATGTTAAACCAGTTCCACTCGAACAAACACGGACATATTTATCAACAAATGATTCAATTAGAACGAGTCAAACTCGTTCTAATAATATTCAAAAGTTGAATTTGTTCGATAAAATTCTACCATTTTCTTCTAATACAAATTCGACTGTTACGTCGAATTTCATACCGAATATTTCTACTAAATATGAACAGTCTTCAGGTACGCCAACTTCCTCATCCGAAACTCAAACATTTGATTCCAATTATTCAACATCAATTCATCCAACGTCTTCATCTAAACTTTCTACCACTTATCAATCTCAATCATCTAAGGAAAATATCGATAAACCCATATCATATCCATCTAGACCTTCGACTTTGTTACCATCATCATACAAACCTTCCATATTACTTCCATCCGCACCATTATCATTGTCTAAGGATACTTCTTCGAGTAGTACAAATAAACAAACAGTACTACCATCTTCAAATATTGAAAAACAAATCGATAGAACAGAAACACATTTATTTCAACATGATGAAGATATTTATTCATCAGATATTGAAAAATCATTATCAGAATCTTCTATAAATCATATTAAATCAACTATTGATCCTGAACATACACCAACAGAAGAATTCTTAACAATTTCTTCTAAACCTATTGAAATTCTTGAGAATACTACAAATGATTATGATTCATTAATTAATCAAATTTCAGATATTCTTGCTAATGTATCACCATTAAGTTCTACTGTAAGCAGTATGAGTCCAGGTCAAAGTGTATTAGATTATGAACTTACATCGGATGGTTCACCAATTCTTAAACGCAAACTTATTGAATCTCAACAATCTACAGTACCACTTACAAATATGAATACGCAATGTTCAAAAGCAAAATATTTAATACGTGATGATTCAAATGATAAAATTGTTACTGCCATGACAGATCTCGATATTGAACTAACACCAGTACCATCTAATATTCAAAAGTCAACAACAATTGAAATAGAGAAAAATGAATCGATAAAAACATTCTTAGACAAACATGAAATGTCATCACCATCATCTAAACAAATTCAAGAAGATGTTAAAACTTCTTCATTAATTAATAAAAAACACAAAGAATCCGAAATCTTACTAACCAATGGAAAAGGATTACCATTAATAACGAAAAAAATCGAAGACGAATATTCAATTTTATCTATACCACCATTAAATGTTTTGACAAATGAATTGTCATCATTAGAAAAAGAAAAACTTGTCGATATACAATCAGTAAACCAAACTCCTTTAAATAATGTTGAATTTGTTCAATCAGAAATAAGTTTATTAACTAACATACCTAACAATGAAGATTTACAAGAAGAAACTAGTGAATCTTATAATGAAGTAATACCATGTACGAAAAATGAAAACCATGTAACAGATGATAATATAGACTTAAATGATGGTGATGACGATGACGATAGTTCAATATATCTAAGTCTTACAGAAGAAATCAATACATCGAAACCTTCAATTATAGCTGCTGACGAAGAATATATAACTTCTGCTAAATCTAAACCGATCGACGAACAACAGATAAGTACATATGATACTACAGATCATCAAATTATTGCATCAGATTTTACTAAACCATCGACAATTGTTATTCAACGACGAAGTACTTCTTCAGATTTAAGTCAATCAGATAAAATTAAAACTTCTACACAACTTGTTGATGATACAGAAAATATCGTTAGAATATCAACTATAGAAAATACAACTTTATCATCATTGCCAATTATCATAAGTCCAATTGATACACTTACAAATTCAATTAGTACTCGATATATAAGTAGTGATGTCTACCATGGTTATCAAGGTGAACATACACAATTTATAGAAGTAAGTGAAATTTTTCTAACTCCTATCTAAACGTACAATGTATACTAAAATTACTCAATAAGATTTATTTTCAATTCTTTTCCACTACCGCAAGCGCTATGAAAAAAATTCAAATAATGATTCGAATAGAGAAAATTGTTCGTAGAGAACTCTGCGATGTCTTATTTTGTAAAGGATAGTTTACTCTATTGTTCTATGTAGTTTAAACAAAATAGGTGTTCAGATTTTCTAGAGTTCGTCTCCTTGTGAATCTGATAATAATTTTTATTTTCTTATATTCTTGTTGGAAACTATTTTCTCGATTCGAATCACTATTGCGATGCTTTCTAACGTTTATGACACTGAAAAAAAAATCTCATTGAATAGTTATAATATTTATTGTATATTTGACATAGACTCCATCAGATGTCAACACTGACAATACGATGATATCTATTCTGACTTCTCTTCGTCAAATCATTGGAAATCCTGCTACACCACTTATTGAAACAATTCAAAGTGTTGTATCAAGTATGCAAACAATTACTGCAATACAACCATTGATGAATGAAAACGAGACGACAGATCGTCATAGTCAAGAGGAGATCAGAATAGTAACTCCGATGACATTGGATTCAAAAAAAGATATCAATGAATATGAAACTCGTATTGAAGAAGTAATGCATAATTAATTGATTATTTATACTATGTTTATTAATCTTTTTCTTTTTTTGAGAATAAACAGATTGTTCATACTTTCGAAAAAGAACAGGAAGCTGTATCAACATCAAGTACAAAACAAATCGAATCAATCTCCACCGAAGATGCAAAGGTAGTTCAAATTTATCGTTATTGATAAACATACTTCTGTAATTATCGCTCTAGGATTTAACTATTCTTCAATCACCACTATCGAAGGATAAAGTTCGATCATCGGACAAAAATATGAATGATCATTCAACAAACGAAATTGAATTAACACTATCGTCTGTACTCGATTCGATTCAAAAGAAAGTTTCAGATACAATAACAACATCTACAGAAACAATTCAAAATATAATACCTACAGTACTAATCCAAACATCAAAGGAACACATTGAAGCATCATCAGTGAATAGTTTACAAACAGATAATCTTATGAAGGAATCTATCAATTTGACATCCCAGATTACTATGAATCAAAAACCAGAAAGTCCAATGTCACCAGTAGACAAAACAACTGGAAACATTGTATCTACTCCTATTATCCAAGATAATCAACACATGTTAAGAACTAATATTGTTTCATCTGAACAAATAACTTCCATTGAACTCACATGTAAAACATTAGTATGTAATATTTAATAAAAAAAATCAGTTATAACTTGATTCTGAAATTTAGAACTTAACAAACTCTGAACAAGCAGAGATCGATAGTGTTATTTCTTCTGTATCCACCGATGAAAATTTACCAATTATCAAACAGGTAATTTAAGCTCGAAAAAAAAAATGTTCCTATTAATTAACTTCACAATTTAGAATTCTATTCAACCTTTCAATAAACAAATCACATCAACAGAAACTATTCAAAATCTTTCATCTTCAACTAAAGAAAAATTAACTTCGGAAAAATCTGAATTCTATCCAGAACATCAAATTCAAAATGAAATAGACATAAGTTTAACAACATCACTACCACAGGTAAATACAAATTCATCTAATTCAAATCTTTTCCAATTAATTCATTAAAGATTTCTCTCGACAAAAAAAAATATCGATACACAACTATTTTCAACAAACTCAATCATGCCAGATTTTACAATAGAGACATGCAGAATTCCCCTACTGGGTAGAGCCCATCAGGTCTGAAGCTTTCACATTTAGAACCAGATCCGATGGCCTCTTCTGCCGGGTAGAATAGAGCCTAGCCATAGAGCACGAAAAAAAACCTTACTCTGCACATCGCTAGCTTAGAACAACATGTGAAACTATAAAATTGCTATTTTTTAATTTCGAAGGAAAAAGATCTTTCAAATAATTCTTTCATTTAGAATGAATTAACTTCAGATAGCAATAAAGATTATGAACTTATTCGGAAAACTATTGACAAATTAATCAATGACATTATTCATATTGTTATATCACAATTGCAAGAAAATTCAATTGAAAATATACAAGAAATTCCTATTTCAGATAACAATCTTAATAAATCAATAATTTTACAAGTAAAAATTCGATTTTTTTAAAATTCACTTTATAATAATTTTGTATATTTTAGATTAATGATGTCACACAACAATTAGAAAACGAATTGGAATCTGATTTAGTAGGAAATTTTTTTTTTCTCTAACAATTTCTAATTCTTCTTTCTTTTCCGTATTTTTAGACATCATTTATAACCGAAACTGAAAATACTCCATCAAAATTAATAATTGATCGTTGTGAATCATCAGCAACAAATACTGAACCTGATTCATTAGAATTAGTTCATGCTTTACAAGGTCATAGTATTATTCAACATAATGAACCTCAACAATTATTTCATCTACCAGAAAAATCTTTTAGTTCAACAACATCATCACAATTGACTAGT